AATGGTCCAAATAATTATGTTTAAGTATATACAATATAATTATTATTTTCATTACTGCAACTTTGGCAGATTTTAGAATTTCAGTAAGAATATATCAAAAATTTCACAAAAATTTTATAAACCAGAAATTGAAGGAATAGGGTTTATTATCTTAATAGCTAAATTACCCACGAAGTATGGAGTAATTAAAAGCAGCATTTCATGATTTCATCAAATTTCCAAAACACAAATTCAATAATATGTTTGAAGATTTTTGAGGATTTATGAAATAATTATGTACCTACATATATTTATAAAAATACTATCTAAGTACGTATTATTAATATGTGTATGTGACATCTAAAAATGTTCATATTGAAATGATAACCTCTTTACTTTTCATATCAAAAAAAAAAAAAAAAATTGAAAAACATAAAACATAAGGATTTTCAGAGATGTTAATAGTTGTATTACTAAGTGTGCGAAACGACTATTTTGATTTCGATGACTGTTTCGACTGATTTAACTGATGTTTTAATTTCAAAGTACATAATTGCAGAAAAAAAAATCAGGCGAAGGTACTCGTATCAAAATTTTCGGAGAATTTTCAAAATGTCGGAAAAAATTTAAAAAAATTAACAGAGGTAGCTTATTGATTTTCCTCAAATGCCTTTAATTTAATTTTGAAATTAAAAAAATACTAAAGTATACATTTATTTGCGCAGTGAACGAACAACCGAGACAAAATCTTGCACTTCTCACATATAGATTATATCTAAGCATAATAAAGAAAGGTCCTTGCTGTGTATAATATGAAAATAAAACTTCTTAATTTTTTATAAGAGTATTTGAAGAAAATTAATAAACTGAGTCGTTTTAAAAGTAAATACTTAAAATTGTAGTTGGAAAAATCTTATTCATTAAAAGTTTATTCTTTAATATAATAGTTTGTTTACTAGTTGTCTATCTACATAAACTTAAAATTTTTGTGTCAAATTAAAAAAAAATCCATTTTTAAGAAATTTTTTAATAAGTTTCAATAATTTTACAATATAGTCAACACCCGACTACCCGAAACCTTTGAGATCTGACCCATTTTCGAGATTCCAAATTTTGATTAAACCGGAAGTAAGAATAAAAATAGTATAAATTAGGCTGCTCGCTCTTATTTCCTCGTTTTTGAAATATTTCAATTTTTTGTTTTTTCTTATTGAACATTTCCTTTTCATAAATCAATAAATAATTCTACCATTTTTAAGTATTATTCGAGTAAAATAGTACTGAAACATTGAAAATAAAGAAATCCCCAAAATTTAAAGATAAAGCAGAGATTTGAAGTTTCAATTTGTTTCGGATAATTCGGAGTTTGGAAGAAGCAGTCACAAATAATTAAGAATCTAATGTAGGTAGGTATGGTAAAAATAGATTATTGTAAATTTTGTAATTTTTACATAATGATATCTGATACTTACAACTCTTATTAAAAAAAAACATTTAAACTTCTTGCTTTTCTTATGATTTTCTTTTTGACACTTAGTACCTTTACAACCCTGTATAAATTTTCTCGGATTAGAGAACTGCATTCGCAGTAACATTTTCATTTTACAATAATCTTGAATAGCTTTAAAAGCTAAAAGTTTAATTACAGGTCGCGAACGTCTGAAATACCAGTTCTGCGTTAATTAAAAGCTCCACACTTTACCCACAGAATTTTTCACTTTTGTAAATGTTTCTTCTCTCGTCATATCACATAATTCAGCCAGATTCATTAAAACAATCTTTTGTACATTTTTTTACGAAACCAACATTTCAAACTTCACATGCAATAGATACAAAAGCAAACAAAAGAGCTTCTTCCATTACATCCCTAATTTGACAGCTTTTTCCCGTACTTTCAAACCGGAATCGACGCTCCACGGCTCTCTATTCACGTTTATTTCTCATTTTTAAGGTATATGTTTTTATAAGGGAAAAGAAAAACGTTTTATTGCGCCAATTTTATGACTTATCCATTATTCCCCATAAAAAGATTCCCTTCGCTTCAAAAATTAAGAGTCGATAAATAATTCGACACAGCATTCAATGGAAACGGCACTGAACTAAATTATACATTACACCTGAAGTTCCAACTCTTTATTAAATAAATTTAATGTACATTTACTTTACATGTATCTATGCATTTGTTTTCCATTGTAAACATTTTTAGCAAGGAAAACAGAATTTCCCTTGAGGCATTAATAATTCATGATTTTGCAAAAGCAGACTCTCGTAACTCTTTTCCTAGAGACAATACGATCGCTAGCGGGATGATTAGTTTAGTTATAGTATACAAGGTGAGCTAATTAAAAGTTTCCAAACCGAGTTGTGATTTCTGACTAATTAATAATAATAATTAAAGATTTAAAAGTGCCGTGTGGTCAATTTATATCCTTAAAATACACAGGGTGTGCCAGAACTCGTGCCTCAGAGAAAAATGTCATGTAAGGTACGATACCAGAAAAAATGTTAAAATATTCTATTTATAAAAATTTCAAAGTTATGAAAGTTAAATTTTACACTTTGAAAGCTGTATCCTAAATTGTAACTCTGTTTAATGTTATTTGTGGCTTTTATTAGCAAAATTTTTATACCTTTAGTAAATAGTTAAAAAACTCATACAAGATCATCAGTATCATTAAATAGACATAAAGAAATGTCAAAAAATAAATGTCAAAATTTCTATTATTACATGGTTTTTCGATACATCAGCAACATGTATACATTCATTCAGGTAATTCATTTTCTATCACAAAGTTACTTGCTTTCAGATAATGATACGTTCATGTAAAAGACTACTTTAAAATTTCCGCTTTCATAGCAACACAGAAAATCAATTAAATTTATTTTATTCGATTTTAGGGCCTATTCTGTAAATACTCATTAAAAAATAAAGGTACTCATCTTTAAATTTAAATATTTAAACCCCCAAATTTAAATAAGCTATTCTGTATGCATAAAATTAAATGCTCATTTAAAAATATATTTTTTAAACAGACCCTTTAAAATATTCGGCTTTCATCGTATTAAATAGAGGAAATGTTATTGTTATTTTTTTATAAACGAACTATTTTTGCTGGTTTTAAATGATGAGCCGACTACGAAAAAATATCAAGCCAGTTTTATTTGTCATTTTCCGTAAAAAACGTTCAAAATGCTTAAAGAAAGATTGTCACAAATGATGAAAGCCCAGAAAGAGGTGCACATAAGGTATGCACATTTTAGATCAAACTCATTCTAAAGAATCCAAAATAAGAAAATTCAGAAACGACAAAAAAAAAGAGAATTGTTGAGCCTCAGTTTTCAGGCAAAGCAAGAAATCGAAAACGAAAAATGTTTGGAATCCTTGGCCAGTAATATTCTTTGCTACAATAATATGATTGACCTGGATATAAAAGATGTTCTTCTGGGGGAAAAATAATTTTAATATGTGCACAGTCAATAATTACAATCGCAACTTCATTAACAGGAAATTTTATCCAAATATTAATTAATCCTTGAATAATTGCATTGGTCACCTCAATAATATTCCTACTTAAATTAGGCTAGCTCTGTGACATCGAGTAAATATGTCCTATTCAAGTAAGGTAACTATCATGCCCAAAAAAAAATCTATAAATGCTACCCACAAAGTACCCTTTAAAAATTAAGCATTTAAAGGTAAAAAATAAATGGAATATTTAAAATTTTAACAATAAAGATACATACAGAATAGCATCACAAATTGATAGCGATTATAAAGTTATAAAAACAATAATTTACACAAAAATTGGTGTTTATTAACATTGTTGGTGAATTATAACAAGATAACGTAGACTTACCCAGACATTATCGCGTAATTTGAATCTGATTGGTTGAATTTCAGAAATGTGAAAGATTTGATTGGGTTAAATTCCGTGACGTCACTTTAGAAAAAATGTGTATTTGTACGACTAAAAATCCCTTTGTTGAGTAAACAAGTGTAAAGAACGGAAAAAATGATGACGTAGAATTTGGTAATACAGGGTGTTTCACATAACTTTGCGAGGCTTGCGCCTAATGTACGCACCCAAATATACAAAAGTCACAGAACAGAACAAACTAGAGAAGATTATCCAATTTTCCAAAATTTGTAATCGAGTTCGTAT